CCAAAAAATAAAGAAAAAAATCTCGAAAATAACCAGGAAAAAACTAACCATTCATATAGGGGAGCGGTGGATTGAAATAGAGACTTGAAGGCATGGCAATCAGAAGAGTATTTTTAAATTACAAAAAAAAAAAGTCAATCTAGAATTCTACATCCAGTGAAAATCCCCCCCCCCCCCCTTTTTTTTGGTCTTTTTTGAGACAGCGTCTCCCTGTAGTCCCAGGTGGCCTGGACCTTGCTATGTAGACCAGGCTGGCCTTGAGATCCGCCTGCCTCTGCCTCCCAAGTGCTGGGATTAAAGGCGTGTGCCACCATACCTGGCAGGTACATACATTTCTGCCAGAGCCAAGGCTCAAGCCCATCTCCATCCAGAATCTGACACACACACCCCCCCCCCCCGCAACTAAATGCACACACAAAAGCTTCAGACCTCAAACTTCCCCAAGGCTAGTCTCCTAGGGCTGCAAGCAGTTACTAGTGTGGATCGTTCCAAGTGGAAATGACAACTTCCTAGTCACTGAATATCCTTTCTTTTATGAAATACAATCAGATTAGATGATAGTTGGAATTTAACTTTTTTATTTCTTCTTTTAAGATTTTTTATTTACGTGTGTGTGTGTGTGTGTGTGTGTGTGTGTGTATGCCACATGTGAGCAGGTGCCCACGCCACATGTGAGCAGGTGCCCACAGAAGCCAGAAGAGAGTATCAGATCCCCTGAGGCTGGTCTTACAGAGTAGCTGTGAGCTGCCTAACATGGATGCTTGGAACCAACCCTTTAGAAAAAAAGGTCAGTGCTCTTAAATGCTGAGCCATCTTTCCAGCCCCTCCTTTCTTTAAAACAAGACACAATGTATGAAACTTAGTGATCAAAGGAGGTCCTTCTCTTTGATTCAGTTGGTTTCCGATGGGCTGGGATGAAGCTTAGTGGGAGGACGGTTGTCTATCATGCACAAGGCCTGAGTCCTATTCTTAACAGTACAAAAATAAAAATTGAAAAGTAAGTTGATCTGTGAATGCCAGGAACTATGATGGTCATCAGTGCCTGCCTCCCTCTTCTGCAGCCCTCCTAGGAGTCTACAGCCTGACCTCTGAGATCATGTGGTTAAAAGCTCTGTCACCAGAGGCATGACATAGAATTTTCATCCCTCCTTTGAAGTGGTGACATGTGAATTAGGTGACAGCCTCAAAAAGGGGCCTTCACCTAATGCTGCAGGCCAAGCCCAGGTCTCCCTCCTGCCCCTTGTGTAAACGGTGGTCATGGGAAGGTAAGCCATGTCTGCACTGTAGTAAGATGGTTTTAGCAGCAGAGGGGCTGAAGATAGGGCTGACATCTTCTGTATGACTACTTGGACATGCACAGAAGCTGGGCTCAGGCAGAAGCTAGGCAGGACTTTACCTGGCTGCCCATTCCCCCCCATACACCCCCCAGTGATACCGTCGGCTTTAAGGTATCATTAACTGAGACCTAAGCCTGGGGCTACAGGAATAAGGCCATAGATAGACCTCAGGGCCTATTGCCTATGGTAGCCTTTTCCATAGCTCTGGTCCCAAAGACCCCCTAGTCCCCATCTTCTGAGAAAAAGCAAACTAAGAACATCCAGGGCTGGAGCCCTGAACTCCAGCCTGGCTCTAAAGTTAGTCTCTTCCTTCCTGCTCACCCCCCAGATGAGATGTAGGGAGCTGACAGCATTGAGGGATGCTGAGGATGGTACTGTGTTCCAGATATGCAGGACCATGGTCCAGAGAGGGCCACAGAGGCAGGCGAGGGCTTCTGAGTCTGCTCTGCCTGCTCCCCGCCATGCTCATGGATCACTGCACTGACAGAGGCCACGAAGAGTGTACACACTGCTCAATAGGAGGCCACAAGGGGGCAGCACACTGCTTAGCCAGCCCAGAGGCCTGCCATGGGGGCCAAGAACCCAAGCCATTGATGCTTCCAGAGGAAGAGCCTCAACCCCAGAGGCTGACTGCCAAGTCTCCTCTCTCCTATCTCCATGACAACCCAGAGACCACTAGGAGACTCCTAGGTTACAAATACAGTATAGACCCACACGAAGAGGAGCCAGGTGTGGTGATACATGCTTGTAATCCCAGCACTCCCGGGGTTAGGCAGAGGATCATGGCAAGGCCAGCCTGAGCTATATACCACCACTCCTGGCTCTCCCAACACCTACTGAGGTCATAGAAGTCTGTGCTGATGGTTGTGGTGTGAGAGTAGAGTGAAAAACAGACGGGTTTGGGTTTTTTGAGGGGGTGCTAACCACAAAGGTATATTGCCAAAATGAATGAAAGCATATACTACAGCTGGAGATGTGGCTCAGCTGGTAGAGTGCTCACCTCTCATGCAGGAAGTCCTGGGTTCCATCCCCAGTACAAAACAAAACACAATAAAAAAACAAGAGCTGCCAAGATGGCTCAGTAGGTAAAGGTACCTGCTGCCAAGTCCAACCACCTGAATTTGATACCTAGGACCCACATGGCAGGCAGAAGGAGGAAATTGAGTCCTGAAAGTGGTCTTCTACCTCCACACACATGCCATGGAATGTATGCACATGCATGTGTGTGTGCACATACACATACACACACAGAGATTTTGTCTTTTTTTTTAATGAATTAGCCCTAGAGCTGGGAGTATAACTCAGTGATAGAGCACTTACACATCAGCAGAGGCCCTTGGTTCCACTGGAAAGGAATGGGAAGGAATTTATCCCAACAGCTTGCTGGGGCCACTTAGTGGCCATGTGGGTGAATGACCGCATCTAGGTTCTGGCTTCTCCAGTGACCCTGAGAGGGGCTCTGGAGGCCCCATCCTCTCACTGTGGTTGATCAGCACCTCGGGATGGGGGTGGCTATACTGATGGAGACGGGGTGAGGGGGCTCCCTGTCTCCACTTCCTCCCTGTTCTTTAAACACTCTGCCCTTGAAGGCAGCCGGGACTACTGGACTGTAAACTTAACACCATACCTGCTTTACTCCCCTGGAGTAAAGCCAGCTAGCTACTTCATCCAATCTTAACACGACACTGCCACCTCTAAACCCACTATGCACCTTTGGCCTCCTGGCCTCTGCCCATGCAGTCCCTCTAGCCTACAGGAACTGTCACATGGGCTGTTTAAGGCCAGCTCTGAGGAACTACTCCTCCTCCCGACAGCTCCCCACTCCCCCACTCCCTGTGCTGCCTGCTCTCCCTCTGTGCTCACAGTGGACACTCAGGTCCAGAGCCCTGAGGAAGCAAGGGCCTGTCAGTTTTGGAGTTGGGATGGAGAAGAGGGCTCTGACAGGGCCTGGCCCTTGTGGGGTGGCACTCTTCTCCACTGCTTGGGCCTCAGCTCTGCCCTCCTCCAGGGCTCGCTGAAGGGGTTGCTGCCATCTGGTGACAGCATGCAAGACCACTGTGAGACCTGAAGGTATCTCAAAGGAGCCTGGGGGTGGATCCTAATCACAGGTGCTTTCTAACCGTGTCTCCTGAAGAAGACATCTTGGAAGCTCCCAAACTACCTTCTCATCCCCATGAGTGACATGCCTCTTAGTCTATGAACTCCTCCCTAGTCTCACCACACACTCCTGGCCTACCTACAACCAGATGCCCGCCCTCTAACCCAGTCAGGTTCTGACCACCCCAAGACCCCAAACCAAGGCTGTTCTGGACCATTCTGGCATGTGTACCCCTGATTGAGTCTGAACAGGCTCTCTGCTGCTCATAACAGTCACCCACCCACAGGTAAGACACAAGGCTAGTACAAACTGCCCCTCTCAGCACCACATAGCACTCACCAGGCTGTGTAGCAGGGCCCTCTGTCCCCTGACAACCAATCCCACCACTCCACACAGAATCCCAGTGCTGCAAACTTCATTGCTGGCCTGGCCCTCGGGTCCTATGACAGGCGGGGCAGAGGATCAAGGCAGATTCAAGGGTGTATTTGTTCTAGATGGGCTCAAGTCCCAGATTTCCACACTAAATCTAAACCACTCTGGAGATGTTGTTTTTACAACTTAGTAGTGAGTTATTCAAAAATAATTTGGGGCTACTGAAGACATGGCTTAGCAGTTAAAAACATTCATTGCCCTTGCAGAGGACTCAAGTTTGGTTGCCAGCACTCACATCAGGCAGCTTACAACTGCCTGTAACTCCAGTTGCACAGGATTTCCAACACCTTCTGGTTTCTGTGGGTACTGCATGCACTTGGTACACTTACATATATGCAGGCAAAATACTCATACACATAAAATAAAAATAAAAATCTAAAAAAAATAATTTTGGGGGCTGGCAAGATGACTCAGCAGGCAAAGGCACTTGCTGCAAAGCCTGACCATCTGAGTTGGGTTAAGCCCCAGAACATACATGGTGAAAGGAGAGAACCAACTCCTTCAAGTTATCCTCTGACCTCCATATGTATGCTGAGTATGAGCGTGCACATGTGTGCATGTGCATGCACACACATACACATACACATTGTTGTATTTTTGAGACAGGGTCTCCCTGTAGTCCCTGAAACTCACTGTGTAGACCAGGCTACAGAGATCTGCCTACCTCTTAATGGAGTAGACAAAAATAGTACAAAGCAGGGGACCAGACCCAGACCCTAGGCAGCACAGACACCCTGTCCCAGCTGGGTATGGCAGTCTCACAGTGCAGTACTGAACTACACACCTGCTGACTATCACACCGCGACTCCCAGAGTCCAAAGATCTAGCCACCCATCTGATTCTGCCTAGCCACTATCACAGGCCACCCTACAGGGGTCTCCTAACATGAGCCCTGCCACAGCAGGTGTCTAATATGTTCCATCCCATGTATAGAGCAGGTGAGAGTGGCTTGGGGCTAGTGATAGTTCTGTCTCCAGGGGTCTCCCCCCACCCACTTCCAGAAGGTGAAAACACAAACAAGAACCGAGGAGGGGCCGACAGGGTCCTCTGCCACCTTCATCCCACAAGAGCTATGGCAGGTTCTGCACACCTGGTGGTTCTGGGTATCCAGGAGTACAGAGAGTGGGGCTCACCTGGCGGAAGGTACAGATGATGATCTCCCGCAGGTGGTAGTGCATAGGCGTCATGGTCTCGCTGACTATGTCCAATGCCGTGTCCACCTCCTTCTTCACACGGTAGCCATCTGGCAGCAGCTGCACCACCTTCATCACCACCTGGAGCCAGAAGATGGGGAGCAGACAGAAGGCTGATGGGGAGCCTCAGCCCAGGTTTCTGCCCACTTCTCTGGGTGGGGCAGTAATGGGGTGCTGGTCATCGCTCAGGTCATACCACACAATGCTTTTTATTTTTTATTCATAACCGAGATTATTTTTAGATTTTAAAAATTTTTTGTTGGGCTAGAGAGATGGCTCAGTGGTTAAGAGCACTGACTGCTCTTGCAGAAGACCCAGGTTCAATTCCCAGCACCCACATGGGGGCTACGAACTGTCCTTAACTCCAGTTCCAGGGGAATCCGACTTCCTCTTCTGACCTCCGTGGCACTGTACAACACGGGTGCGCTCACACACATGCAGACAATACACTAATACACATAAAATAAAAATAATAAATTTAAATTTTTTTTAAATTTTGTGTGTGTATGTGAGCCTGCATAAGCATATGTGCACCATGTGAGTGCAGGAGTCCCCAGAACTGCAGTTACTGGTGGTCCTGGGCTGCCATATGGGTATTAAGCCTAACTTGGGTCCTCTGGGAGAGCAGCAAGCACTCATAAGTGATCTTTCCAGCCCCCATAACTAAGGTTTTATGATTTGTGCTAAGGATCTGTACATACACATTTCAATGTATACACCATTCTGTGTGTATGATGCATGTGTATGTGGAGTACACATATATGTGTGTGCAGATGCATGCACCTATGCACATGTGGAGGCCACAAGAGGGCATTGGGTATCCTGCTCTGTCACTCACCTTATTAACCTTGAGACAGGTCTCTCAATGAACCTGGAACTAGGCTGGCCACCAGCAAGCCCCAACAATCTGTTTATCTCTGCCCCTCATAGTGCTGGGGTTACAAAGGCTCATGCCTGGTTTTATATGTGGGTGCTGGGGACTCAAACTCAGGTCCCCATGCTTGAGCAGCAAGTGTCTGATATACCATTCTTAATGTCCATATAAAAAAATTTAAAAAGCCACATATTGTGAATTTTTGTTGGTCATTCCATTGACTTTCTAGCTCAAAGTCTGGAAGTAAATTTTCCTTAAGAGGCTATCAAAGGCTAGGGCTCAGTCAGTAAAGTGCTTGTTGTGAAGGCATGAGGAGCTAAGTTCAATTGCCATCATCCACATGAAAGCCAAGCGTGGTGGTGTTTGTCTACAGCCCCAGCGATGGGAGGGGATGGCATAGAGAGAGGACGGACAAGCCCCAGACCACTGAGAGACTCTGACTCAAAAATAAATGAATAAATAAAAATATATAAAGTTGTTGACTCCTGAGGACTGACACTTGAGGTTGGCCTCTGACCTTCACAAACATGCGCATAAAAACAAGTAATTTTTAAAACATGTGGGGGGCTATAAAGCAGTAAGAGGGTAGCAGGAGATGGGAAAAATGGGGGGAGAACCACACACATAGACTTTGGAGCTGGAAGGTGGCTCAGTGGTTAAGAGCACTCACTGCTCTTCAGTCCCCACGACCCACTTTGGGATGTTCACGCTTGCCTGTAATTATAGCTCCAAGGGATCTGACACCCTCTTCTGGCCAACATGACACCCACAATCATATGCCATACACACACACACACACACACACACACACACACACACACACAGAATACACATGAATAAAAATAAAAATTAATATTTTATAACAAGGGGGTTGGTAGGGTGAGGGTGGGGATGGGGAAGAGGTCTGAATATAATCAAAATTCATTGTATGAAATTCTTGAATCAGGACTGGAGAGATGGCGCCACAGTTAAGAACACTGACTGCTCTCACAGAGGAGGTGGGTTCAATTCCCAGCACCCACATGGTGGCTAACAGCCATCCATAACTCCAGTTCCAGGGGATCTGACGCCCTCTTCTGACCAACATGACACCCACAATCATATGGCATACACACAGACACACACACACACACGAATAAAAATTAAAATAAATATTTTATAACAAGGGGGGCTGGTAGGGTGAGGGTAGAGATAGGGAAGGAGCTCTGAATATAGTCAAAACTCATTGTATGAAATTCTTGAATCAGGACTGGAGAGATGACTCCACTGTTAAGAGCACCAACTGCTCTTGCAGAGGAGCTGAGTTTGAGTCCCAGCACTCACATGGCAGCTAACAGTCGTCCGTAACTCCAGTTCAGGGGATCAGACGCCCTCTTCTGACCTCCTCAGGCATTGCGCAATACAGGTGCACTTACATACATGCAGGCAATACACTCATACACATAAAATAAAAATAATAAAAAAATAAATTCTTGAATCAATAAAATTTCTCTTAAACTTAAAAAAATGCACACTTTGAATATGTCATAATGTTATCTAACATATTACACAATTATTTAAAAAATAAAAATATTAAAACATGTACAGATTATATTTTACTCAATACTATGTCTGCATTTGTCAATGTAAAAATATTACTTTCTAGTTGCAAATCCTAAAATAAAACATTCAATGAAAAAGAAACAAAAAACAAAAACCAGGATATCAAGTACTAAATCTCCAAGCTTAGATAAGCTGTTACCTAAGCTCAGTCACACTCACAGTTGAGTATCACAGACACCCACGAGTGAATCCTCAGCCCTTCACAGCACATTAAACAAGGAACCAGGAAAGCCAGGTCCCCACCATGGAAGGCCATGCTGACAGGAGGACCCGGGAGGTGAGTCCACTACACCACAGGGGAGCAGCAATAATTTTAAGCACTCAGAACATATCAAAAGTATGCCTAGGGTTCCAAATCCATCTCCTAGGCTTGGGTTTTTATTTGTTTGTGGAGAGTTCTGGGGGTCTTTTTTTTTTTAATTCTTGTTTGTGTGTAATATGTGCATGTGAGGGGTGTGGACTTGTCATGGCATGTGTGGAGGTCAGAGGACCACTTTCAGGAGCCGGTTCTCTCCCCCTACCTTGTTAAGGCATGGTCTCTCTCATCGCTTCTAACCTGCTGCCCTATTAAAGCTAAGTGGTCTGTGAGCTTATGAGAAATTATCCTGCCTCCACTTCTCATCTCACTGTAGAAGTGCTAGGACTGCAGAGGCAGGTGGATCTCTGTGAGTTCAAGGCCAGCCTGGTCTCCATAGTGAGTTCCAGGCCAGCTGGGGCTGCCGGGAGACCCTGTCTCAAAAAAGACCCCCCCCCCAAAAAAAGTGCTAGGATTATAGACACGTATGTGCCACTGCATCCAGCTTTTTTACATGGGTTCTCAGGGTCCAACTCAGGTCCTTAGACTTGTGTTTTTTGCACTGAGCCGTCTCCCTGTTCCCCCCACACACACACCTTTTAAATTATTTTATTTATTTAATGTGTATGAGTGTTTCGTTTGCATGTATATAAGTGCATCCAGGTCATGTAATATCCATGGATGCCAGAAAAGGGTGCCAAATCCCCTGAAACTGGAGTTATAGATGGTTGGTAGCCACCATGTAGGTGCTGGGAACCCAACCTGGGTCCTCTGCAAAAGCACCCAGTGCTCTTGGCCACTGAACCATCTCTTCAGCCCTTTCCCCCAACTTTTTTATCTTATGCATCTCTGGCATCCCTCAAATTCAATCTAGCAGAGAAATATCTTGAAGTCCTAATCCTCTTGCCTCCACCTCCCAAAAATTACAGGCATGAACTACTATGTCCAGTCAGTTTATTCCGTGCTGGGCATAGAACCCAGGGCTTCATGCATGTTAGGCAAGATCTCTACAAGTAAGCCACATCTTCAGCCCCTCATTTCCTATGCTTTTTATTATAAGATACAAAAAGCACCTATGGAATTACTAAGCCAATCCAAGGACTTTGGTTTGTTTTATTTTTTCTTATTTATTTATTATAGTGTTAGAGCTCCAACTTAGAGCCTCAAACATACCAAGCAAGCACTCCATCACTGACCTATACCCCCAATTCCTTTTTTGCTTTTTTAGAGAGATGGAATCTATGCTGGGTTGCCCAGGCTGATCCTGAACTCCTAAGTTCAAGTGATCCTCCTGCCTCAGCCTAAGTACCAAAGTACTAAGGACTAAAGTACGAAGGACTAAAAGTACATGCTACCACTTAACTTTCCTCCCCTCCCCTCTCTCCCTCTCTCCCTCCTTCCCTCTCTTCCCTCCCTCCCTTTCTTCCTTCTTTCCTGATACGAAAACAGAGTCCTTCTCTCATCTGAGGGCCCATCATGGGCACCAGGAATTAATTTAAAACTTAAAACTTTGTCCATGGGATCAAGTGGTTTATAACAAGGGTGCCACTGGGCAAGGGCAGTACCCTCAGCAATTGCTCAGGGGAAATAATGTCCAGTGCTCTGCATGAAAGCACTGCTGGGCCCTTATCTTGTACCAAACACAAAAACTAACTTGAAATGAATCAAACACATAAACATAAGAGCTAAAACTGCAAGCACATTCAATAGCATGAATGCCAAGCATGGGCTTGGCAATAATTTATTGGATATAAGCCCAAAAGCATAGGCAACAAAAATCAGACAAATTGGATGCCATCAAAATTAGTAGCTTGCACACCCACGGACACCATCCACAGAGTAAAGAGGCCACCTACAGGACAGAAGGAAACATTTGAAAACCACGTATTGGGTGAGGAATTAATGTCCAGGGTATATAAGGAACTCCCAAAACTCAGCAATAGCAAGACAGGGCAATTCAAACCCCAGCAAAGGACAGGAAAGGACATTTCTCCATAGAAGATGTCCAAGTGGCCAGTAAGAGGATGCAAAAGTGCTGGACAGCACTGTTCACCGGGGAAAAGGCAAATCAAACCATAGGATGCTGCTTCATGCCTACCAGGATGTCTATCATAAGCCAGAAATAAGTGTAAACAAGGACATGGAGACACTGTCATTGTGTGCACCATGGGTGGAGTGCTTGGAAAATAGGCAGGTGCTCAGAAAACAGTTTCCATATGACCCAGCAGTGCTGTTTCTGGCCAGATACCAAAATGATTAATAGGATTTAGCCAGGTGTAGCAGTGTAGACCTGTACATTGGGAGGCTGAGGCAGGAGGATAGAAAGTTGGAGGGTAGCCTGGGTACACAGCAAATCCAAGGCTAACATTGGCTATACAGTGAGACTGTATCTTCAAAAAAAAAAAAAAAGAGCAGGGACTGAAACAGGTATTTAGACCCTCACACTCATAGGAGCACCATTTACAAGTCAAGAAGTAGAAGCAATCCATGTGTCCATCAACAGAGGCACTCAAACAAAATGTGGTGCTGTTCATGCAATGGAATATTGCTAGGCCCTAAAAAGGAAGCTCTGACATGACTACAACGTGGATGAGCCTTGAAGCCACTGTGCTAAGTGAAATAAGCCAGTCACAAAAGTCTGCGATTTCACTTATGGAAGTACCCCATGATTCCACTTTGGGGAGCACCTGGAGGAGTCAAACCCACTGGGACTGAAAATACAACATGCGAGTTACTGTTTCATTGACAGAGTTTCTGTTGTGCAAGATGCAAGAGTCAGAGGGCTCTTGGTGATGGGTGCACCACAGGCATATTTAAAGCCCTGTTACTACACACTCAGAAGCAGCTGCAAAGGTAAATTTCTGTTAGTATATTCTGTTACATATGGGGGGAAGAAAAAGGAAGAAAAAAGTTGTCTCAAGAGAAGGCCCAGAGTACATGCGTATGGTCAGCTTGAGACACAACACAGAGTCAGGGCAGCAGGACTGCCAGAGGGCAACTGGCAGGCTGGTGGCACAATTACCAGGTGGGCAGGAGCCAACCATGATGCCAGCCACTAGGCAGCTACATGCCAGTTGTGCAGAGCGGTGCCACATGTCTGAGATGTGTATACATGACAGGTACATGACATGTGTGACTAAATCTGAAATGTTGGTGTGCTGTATAGGTCTGACCTCCAACAGGCAGATGCCATTTTCCCAAGCCTGGTTGCCTAAGATCATCACAGCTGGGCTTGACTGTTCACACACACACACACACACACACACACACACACACACACTGCAAGGAAGGAAGGGACAGAGAGAGTTACAGGACTCTCGCCTAAGAGTCCAGCCATACCACTCAACCAACTGGTGATGAACAATTCTGCCCTAACTGTACATGGCCTAGGGGAGGGGCAACAATATATAGGTGAAGAAGTCTATGGGAGGGTCGGCTATGGGGAAGCCACCATCCATGCTTGGGTGAAGACTTTCCAGTGTGACCTTAGGTGGGGAGTATCCACACTCCTGTAAGTAAACCCTCACCCACTGCTCTATAATTAAGCCACATAAACTCACTGGTTTCCCAGACTGCAGTTTGGTGAAATCATACCTCAATTTGTCATTGGGCCCAAGGGAGGAAGGGGTGGATGTTGTTTCCACACACACTCCAAGAAGTAATTTTATCAACATGGTAGCTACCCAGCCGGACCCCTGAGCTGAAGCAGGAAGATGGGCAGGGCAGAGTGAGCTGGGGCCCTACACAGGGCACTATCCACAGCTGAGTTCTATGTAGCTAGGAGGTTAATAGCAATGTTATTCGGATAGGAGGGTGGCCAGTGACCTACCCCAGAGTACCCAGCATCCCAGCCAGGTAGGGAAGGGTCCAGCCTCCCATCTCCTAGGGCCACCTGCAGAGGCCCAACATTCCAGCTGCTCTGAGCCATGGTTTGCCCATCTTGGAGAACTCCCCTCCATACAACATTCCCAGGGACCCACAGGGCACACTCACCTGAAACTCGCCTTTGGTGAATTTGGCATCAGGCACACTCACCAGCTCCTCCTCGCCCACCTCAGGGCAGCCCTGAGGGACGACAATGGCTGAGATGCAGCCCCTCCCCATGCCATACCCTTCCCACACCCAGAGCCCTTACTGGGGTTTTCCAGGCCTGATGGGAGGGGTCCTGGGACCATACTAGGTATGACCTCTGTCCCTCTGCACTCTGCCATAGCCAGTACCCACTCCTGCCTGGGCAGTCCTCTTTCCTCACACAGGAGGTCACACCTACCCTGATGTGCCATGAGGCTAACACAGCCACCACCATGGCAGTAGTGGTCCGACCCTGACCACTGAGACAGCTGAACACAAACCCTGTGCCTGGATCCCTGGTGAGGGCAGCCCACAGGGCCTCCAGCAGCCGGTCAAAGTCCTGGGGGACAAGGCAACAATCTAAGTCCAGGTGTTTCTGGCTACCCAGACTCCCAATGGGGCTCTCTACCAAATGGCAACCCCAGGAGGTGTCCCTGTGCCAGAAACCATCAGACTCATAACATCACATATGTACAAACACTGCTAAGTTACACATAAGACCACATGTGTGTGAACAGCCACACCTTCATGTACAGACACAACTGTCCCCACCCCAGGGACCCTGGACTGGACATGTGAGCAAACACAGCACACTCGTGGGGCTGAGGTTGGCAACCCTTTCTCTGCCTGTCTGTCAGCCTGGTGAGCAATGACCAGGTCCTGGGCTCAGCAAGCACTTTAGTGAATGGCCACCAGGGGGCAGCAATGCACAGGCACTGAGATCACAAAGGCCAGTGAGGCTGGAGGAAACAGCCTGACACTATCAGGATGGCATCTACAGCACTTGCCAACCACACACAGCACACAGATGTACCATATGCCTGAAAGGCAGACTACACAGATGGCTGCAAACATACATCTATCACAGATCTACAGCTGCCACACGAACACTACCTCGGTCACGCAACCCCGTTCCACAGGACCTCTGCCATACAGCAACCATACAGCCCATACAGCTTCTCCATAGATGCACTGTCCACACACAGCCCACTAACACAAGATGGATGCTATGGACCCCACAGAATCTTGAGTCCCACACCATCAGGGCACCGTGATCCATACATCTCTCCTACAGACACATGAGCATGTGTGATTCTCTGTAACACACAGTACACATGTCTGCAACACACAACACATGCAGAGAACACAGGCCCCTCAACACAGAGCACACATAGGTACAATACACAATGAACACACACACACACACAGACGAAGGGACAGGAACAAACTAGGCCACAGGTAGACCCCGTGAAACAATCCCAACCCGTCATGGAGTTGGGCTGCTTTTCCCAGACCAGAGGAAAGCCTGCTCCCCTTCAACCCCAGAGACCTTCCAGAGGCCTGGCCCCTCACCTCCTCTCGGGGAGCACAGAAGTCTGGCACAGGGATGCGGTGGTAGGTAAGGCCCAGATAGGCCCCTTGGTGTTGACTGAAGACCTCCCTCATGGTGAAGCACTTCTGGAACCTGGGAACCTTGAGGCTCTTGGTGTCGGAGGTACGGACACTCAGGTGGGACTTCAGCTGAGCCTCCAGGGCCTAGACAGGGGCAGGACAGAAAGCAGAGGCCACTAAGGCAGGCCTGAGAGGCAGGAAACTACTGGAGCCATGAACAGTCCTGGCTTCCCAGCCTAGCTCTCTTTCAGCTCTAGCTGGAAAGCTGGAGCATGGGAACATGGGAATGGGAGACACTGATCAGTGACTCCCCAAACTGTCCTCACAGACATCAGCTCCTCCATCCATACATCAGAAGCAGGGGCCCTCAGAAACCTCTGCCTTGTCCTCCTTTTTCCCCAAGGGCCTCCCAGGTAGACCACAAAGAAAGCAAGAAACCTCACCTCCAGCTGCTCAGGGCCCAAGGGTGGCCCGGGTGGCCACAGGCTGTGTGTGTGACCATCACACTCCACCACGGCCTCCTCCCTCAAGTTGACCCAGACCACCTGTTGCAGGTTCCTCTTGGTGTCAGACAGGTAGGCCAGGATGCTGCCTAGGGCCTGGGGGACGAGGGGCCGTCAGGGCCAGGGCCAACCTTTCCCCTGCCCCTATGTGTAGACCTGGGCCTGGGAGCAGGCACCTTGGTACTGGGCTGAGCTGTGCCGTAGATGGGCATGCGGGGCACACGCCGGAAGTTGGCCACGTCCATCTCTCTGACGGTGCTGAGAGCGTCCAGGGAAACAAGATCATCTGCTTCCTGTGGGGAGGACACCAAGCCTGAGACCCATCATAACCAACCATAGCCAGCCTCAGGGGGTGGGGGAAGGGCAGAAGCAATGCCCTACTGGGTGCAGGGCATGGCTGGCCACCTACAGCTTTGCTGGTGTCCTGGAAAGGATGTGATGGTGCCCACCTTCCAGAGAGGCTTCAGCTCAGGTATCCTACTACTCAGCCTAACTCTCTGCCAAAGCTCTGGGCTTTGAGACTATGAAAAAGGTACTAGAAGAGCAGCCAGAGCTGCAGACACTTCATGGCGCCCAAGCATGGCACATTCTGCCCACACAAGTAGCCTACCAGTCCCCTGGCAATACTTCCCCAGTCCTACAGGAATCTAGAACTCTTTGGGTGAGGACCCAGACAACCCACTCCAGACAGCCACTCACCAGGGAGCCATTGGCGATGAGGTCCCTGGGGGCTACAGACCCCAATGGATTCAGCATCACAGGCAGACGGTACAGCTCGGGGTGGGCACAGAGCCAACGGCTGAAACTGAGGGCAAAGGCCAGGGGGTACTGCAGCCCGAGGCCGAGAGAGATGAGGTATTCAGGGGTGTGGGGCCATCCTGAGCCCTCCCTGCCAGCCCACATAAGGGGAGCGCCAAGAGGCATTGATATGATCCAGGGAGGAGTGAGGAGCTCCTAAGGGAGGAACAGGATGCCTGTGGCCCAGGCCAAGGGTACAGAGCCTGGACCGATGGTTCCCTGTACCAGGCCTGCTCAGGAGCCACCCTCATCCAGGTCCCTTCTTGCCTCTCCAACTGACTCATACCTTCCTTAGAAACCAATATACACAACCCCACTCTTCCCCTCCCTTCCACCCCATGGGGTCCCTGTTGCCAATCACGCTGGGATGGGAGGATCCCCAGGAGGATGGAGTGTGTTCTGCTGCACCCCCAGCCCCACCTGCTCATGGAGATAGTAGTTAAACAGGATCAGGTAGAAATATCGCTCTAGGCTCCTCAGCGCTCTCCGTTGGACAGCATGCTGGCTGCCACTTCCCTGAGAATGGGGTACAGAAGGGAAAGTGGAATTAAATATGGGGCTGCCCCCTGGCCACATATGGAGGAGTGGAGGGCAGTCTTCCCAGCTTCGTGACAGTTCTGTCTTACTGAAAGTCCTCCATGTGCCTGTCTATCCCGTTTGCTGTGGTTAATCTGCAGTGCAAAGAGTGAGCCAGTGACCACACAGGGCACTGGTGACTGGGATGCAGGTGCTGCCTCTGCAGGCAGATTCCTAGCCCTGTGACACAGACAGGGCACAGGGGACAGAGGTGGAGGGTAAACAACAGGATGACTACAACTCCATGTCATGTTCCACTTCCTATGTGTTAAGGAACCCATCACTCACACTCTCCCTTTCTTCAGGGAGACCCTCCTTTAGGGGTCAAGGCCCCCCTCACACACTGACAGAGACATCCTCAATGGCATTTCAGAGGGGCTATTATCACTCCCGGTTCACAGAGCAAAAAATTTAAATTCAGAGAAACAAAGCAGTCCTCTCCAAGTTATACAGTTAATGGTGAATGAGAAAGCTCTCTCTCCCATTCCCAACCCATCCTCCTCTGGGCAGTGGGGTGTCAGAGAGAACCCTATGAGCACCCCCCTTCAAGTGTCAGGGTTATCCTGCTGGGTTAGTAACCTGGAAGGCAAGTGAGATCTTGCCCCAATTGAATTGACCTGGGAGAAGAGCCATGCCCTTTGACAAAGCTGGACCCCCATCTTTGGGAATCTGCACCAAGGGCTACCAAACTTATTCTGCAGAAAGTCAGAGGATGAATAGGGTATGTGTGTGGGTCTCAGTCACACCCCTCAACATTGTCATAACAGCTCTGTCAGGGACACATGAACGAATTGTGAAACTCACAGAGGTGGTGTGGAACCTGGGCCTTGAGCCAAGCTCCAATTACCCGTTGAACCCTTGTCTAGACTACGGGAGAATCCTGGGTTTTAATGACTCCTGCTCGAGATTCAAGAAGGAAATTCAGGCAAAAAGCACTTAGGGGATGAGGACCCTAAAGCCACTCAGCTGTCAACAAGAGGGGCCTAGTGGATGAGCACAGCAGGTGACAATCAGCCCCCTTCTCTACATTCCATGTATCTCTCCTCACCAGACCCCCAGTAGCTCTCTCAGCTATTTATCATCACTGGCCCTATTTCCTAAATGGGATAACAAAGTGGATGCCCAGGTCTCTACCTCTGTATGTGGCATGGCCAGGGGTGGGACCAAGCAGCTGGGTCAGGAGCCCTCACTCTCACTCACTAGGCTGACCCAGTCATGAGTGTAAGTAGCAGGGCCATCCAAAATCTTCTTAAAAGATAAAAGTCAGAAATATGCATTAAAACAAGTGGCACACAGGAGTGCTGGGGAAAGCACACAGAGAATCACAAACAGATGAAGAACCAGGCAGCTGCCTGGATTAGGAGCAATCACTTTCCCTTGGTTTCTAATTTCGCAATTTTTCCATCATCCCAACAGATTGCAAGGCTTTTTTTTAATGTTAAAAAAGAAAAAGTTGCACAGGCTTAGACTATTTCCACGCTCTGTGCACAAACACACTGTCAGTCTCCACAATTCTTCCCAGAGCTGAGGACAGGCGCTTTGAGCCAGAACAGAGCCTGCACTCTTTAAGATGCTTCAGGATGGACCAAGGCCTGGTCTGCCCAGGGAGGCTCCTAGGAGTTTCCTTTGCACGAAGTGCTCCTGTATGAATCTTGAAAGTCCCCCAAAGGCCTGTGTTTAAAGGCTGGACTCCCAGGGTGACACTATTGTAAGATGGTGGGATCCCAGAGTCTAGCAGGTCTTTAGGAGGTCTATCCTAAGAACTGATGCCTGACCAGTCCTCTCTCTTATCTTTTCATTGCCTGGCCATGAAGCAAGGAGTGTTGCCCCACTGCACATGCCCACCATGATGTGCTGCCCAGAACAAAAAGGCAAGGACTGGGGGCTGGAGAGATGGCTCAGTGGTTAGGAACACTGGTTGTTCTTGCAGAAGACCCGGGTTCGAATCCCAGCACCCACATGGCAGCTAACTGTCCATAACTCCAGTTCCAGGGGATCCAACATCCTCTTCTGACCTCCACAGGCATTGCACAACATGGGTGCACTTACCTATATGCAGACAACACACACATACACATAAAATAAAATTTTTAAAAATTTTAAAAAATTTTTTAAAAAAAGCAAGGACTGAAACTTCTAGAACTGTGAGCCCAAGTCCCGATCTCAATCTCTCTATATCTCTCTCCTCTCTCTCTCTCTCTCTCTCTCTCTCTCTCTCTTAATTATAGCACAAAGAAACACATTTCTAGTATTTAATTACTTATATAAGATGTTAAATTTATGTAAGTACTTAGTGTGTGTGGTCTCTCTCTCTCTCTCTCTCTCTCTCTCTCTCTCTCTCTCTCTGACAGGCTCATACATATATCCCAGGTTCCCTTTGAACTCACAATTCTTGTGCCTCCTGAGTGTTGGGATTACAAGCCCGTACCACTCCTGACTAACCTTTGCTCTTTATAGGTTGATTGTCTCAGGTATTGCATTATAGTAATATGAAGTTGACTAGTACAATGATCTGGGAAATGTCTGAGTCCAGAGGTCCCAGCAGGGACCCAGCAGGTCCATCCTGTTTATTTTGTAGCCATGGGACCAGCTCAGAGAAAGTAAATTTCCCACTTCCCTGTCCATCCCTCTGTCCCAGCCCCAGTCCCCGCTCCTCCCCTTCCTCTAGGAACTATTCATCTGATGAAGAAGCAACAGCCAGGAACAGTCAGGCTGAAAGAAGCCAGCCCAGGCAGAATCTGGCATGTTCCTCTTGGCCTCACCTTCTCTGGGCTCTCGCCTTCCAACTTCCTCTGGTCATTCAGGATTTCCTCCTTCAAGTCTTGCAACTCTGCACAGGCGCTGACAGCTCTATCCACCTGGGGCCAGAGCAGGGAGAAGGGGGACAGCAGAGGAGGGAGCAGGGTCAAACAAAGATGGGAAGGAAGAGGATTGTCAGAGAGAAAGGGGATGTAGGGAGGAAGAGCCTCCCCATCAGTGAGAGGAACAACTGTCCCCTCTGCTGACTTGGTCCAGTGCCTCACTCACCTCCTCGACCATCTTCCTTCCTTGGGGTACCATATGGACAAACCTCTGGATGGCTTGGAACTGCTCCATGGGCAAGGGTTTGGTCAACAAGGAGGGTGCTCTGACAAGGAGCAAAGGGTCAACAGCATGATCAGAGACAGCCATACTGCTTACCCTTCCACTACCCATACAGCACAGGGAGCTATCAGGCTACAGGCTCCTTCTGAATCCCACTGGGGGAAGTAAGGCCCAGAAAGGTCATGTGCCTCACTCCTGGGTACCAGCAAATCTGTAGCACACAAGGAAATGATTCCCCCAATGCCCGGTCTCCAGTTCTGTTTCTGAACATGGCCCCATCAACCCAGAGGCAGCCTTGCCCTCTCCTCTACTTTCCTTACAACCCCTTGGCTGGTGGGACCCTGGCAACTCACTCTGGCTGGGAGGCAGCCCTGCTGTGGTGGAACAGTACCAGGGTACCCAGGGCCATGCCCAGGTTGGTCCTACCCACGCCTGACTGGCAGCTGAAGAGGAGGGCAGGGGGAAGTCCATGGGCACCATGGAGCCGCAGTAGGCTGGGAGTCTCCTGGGGGAAGGAACATGAAGGACTATCAGGTGATCATGTGACTGGATAACCCGGAGGTTGAGACCACAGTCACGTTCATAGCGTGTGCTGCAAGCTGAGGCCTGACAAGAGGCACAGCATCTGCTGTCAAACCCATAACCAGATCTTCTCCACCTGCCCCCAGGGCCTCAGATACTACCCCTGCCCAGGCTCAAGGAAATATGGAGAGCAGGCCAGGAATTAGAGGGGAGTATCTGTGGGGTCTGGAATACACTGCTCATAGAAAAGCACACCCATCCACGTAGAAGAGAAAGGTCCTTGGTACTCAGGAAATATCCAGAAACATCTGTGGGGCAAGGATCGCAAGCTTCACTAAAGAAATGAGGGAAGGGCTGGAGAAATGGCTCAGCAGTTAAGAGCACGGAGGCTAACAACCATCCTAAACTTTAATTACAGGAAATTCAACTCCTTCTCCTGGCCTTTTCTGGCCTTGCATGCATGTGGTGCACTTAGATACACACAGGCAAGATACACAAAATAAAAATAACTCAATAATCAAAAAATAAATGAGGAAGGGGAATGTGATGTCTCCAAGACTACCCTGCAAGTCCACTGCCATGGCTAGAATCTAGTGTTCCCTGTGCTAGGCTCTGACATGGAGGATGTACAATGTGTGTACCATGAATGCAAACCACCCACACACACAGACATGTACACGCACACTGCAAAGGGAACAAAAACAAACACAATAACATAGATACTAGCCAGGTATTGTACCCCACGCCTTTTATCCTAGCACAGCACTTGGAAGGCAGAGGCAGGTGGATCTCTGTGAGTCCGAGGCCAGCCTGGTCTGCATAGAGTTCCAGGCCAGCTGGGGCTACAGGGAGACCCTGTCTCAAAAAGACCAAAAAAGGAAAAAAAAGAAAGAACATAGATACCTCCTCACATCCTGACACACTGGATCCCATACACAATATGCATCAAGCCTTGCACTGAACACCAGAGGCCACACCATGGACTATCTCTATGGAGACTAATTGCAGCATCTGTTCCCTCCCACTGCTCCCAGCACTCCTCCCCCAATCCATCCCACTTACCCGAAGGACACTGACAAAGGCATCAAACTGGGTTTCCAAAGGGGCCCCTTGCTCTGGCAGGGGCAGGCGGTGATACCTGCCAGGAGAAGTGGGCAGCCCATGAGCCAGGCCACGCCAGTGGGCAGCAACCCAAGCCACATTCCCAAGCACCGGCCCAACATAGGAAACTGAGGGAGCATCTTGGAAGCCAGCCCAGGGCAATGCCAGCCCCAGATACCTGTAGGTAGGCTGCAGAAAGAGTGGCCGCTTATACACCTCCTCTGTCACATGTATGTCATCCTCACCCCGGATGACCACAGTGTGTGGTTCCCCCCTCAGGTCCTCTGTGTTGTGATATACACGGTACATGTTCTCACTCAGCTGGGCAAAGTCATGGATCTAAAGTGAGATGAAGGGGTCAGAGGGATATGACGGGAGCATCCAGACCCTCCCTCCTCCTCCCTGCCAATCTCTGGTGACTGAGCCACACAGAGGCCCCATATAGGCTCCAGTGTCACTCTGTCCTGCCTGGAATAATCAACCCTGCAGGGACTGACCATGGCACCTTGGGAGCCTGCAGGAGGGCTCTGCCCAGTGGGAAGCAGGAATGTACTAAGCCACCTGAATGCCAGGACAAGGCAAAGCTCAGCCAGAGAACACAGGAGGCCTGAAGAGAAGGCAGGAGGAAGATGTTCCCAGGAAGGCCTGGAGCCCTGCCCACAGGCATCTCCAGAGCACTGTGCCCCCACATTCCACTCACACACATTTGTGGTATGTCTGCTATCTCAGAGACCCCTGTCCCTCAAAACACAAACATCTGTGCCATGGAAACAGGCGGAATCCCAGAGACAAACCTAGCAAAACTGACACCCCAGGGCCCCATATGACAAGTGAGCAGCCAAACTTCAGTCTTGGGACTCTTAGTCTAGCACTCTTAACACCTGGACAGACCCCTTTTTAAACCAACATTGGACAGCAAAGGAGAAGCAGGGTGGAAAAGGGACAGAATCAGGGGAGCTGGGAACAGGAATTCAACCCTGTAACAAGTCACTTAACCAAGCAGGACATAAAACTTGGGGAGTATAAGCCAGCAAAGCCACCCCAGAGTGGGATGTTTCTGCAGAGCTGAGCTATGGGCTGAGGTCCTGGCTCAGCCATCTGAGGCCACCTAGGGGGAAGGACTCCCACCTGCTCCATAGGCCCTCACCTCTTTCCGGATGGCCAGCTCCAGGCTTTCAGCCCCAACCCCCGGCCTTTGGCCCTGGAGATTCTCATGAAGGTTCTGTTTCTCTCGAGGTGTATAGGACAGGAAGTCTTCCTCGGCACGCAGGAACAGCACTGGCTCCTCCCGTACACAGAAGATGACACACTCCTGGCAGAAAGAAGCCATCACCCTGTCCTGCAGGGACACCTGATACCTACCCAACCTCTAGGCCTTCACCCTCCCTCATCCAGGACCAAGCACCTGACCAGTCCCTGCAACCTGAATCCCAGAGAAACCAAGATCAGTGTAACTACCTGGACCCCCTGGACCATCCTGGACCTCCAATAGCAGTGGGCAGGAACCCCTTTCCCCTCCAGGCCACTATCCTTTGAATCTCCTGGGCTTAGCTTTGTTTCTTTTTCATTTTTCTTTCTTTCTTTTTTTGAAACAGGGTCTCACTATGTAGCTCTGGCTGACCTGGAACTTGCCATGTAGACCAGGCTGGCCTCAAACTCACAGAGATCTCTGCCTGCTTCTGCTGGAATTAATGGCATGTGCCATCACAGAAGGCATCATTTTAACATTGTCAATGCATCTATCTTTTCTCTCTGGGTGGGCCACACATCCCCCTGGCAGAATTATTCTGTCATTTCCATGTGCCCCCAATGCCTAGCAGAGAGCCCTGGGTAAATCAAGAGTTTGGTAAATAAAGATCAGCTGAAGATGTAATGTCCCCACAGTCACTCATTCACTGAGTGTCTTCAGGCAGGAGACCCCTCTCCCAGGAATGCAGGGTCAGGCGAGGAAGATGGGACTGGCACACAATCCCTACCCCATTCTGGTTCATTCTGGCCGCTCAACCTCAGCCCAGGTTAATCTAGAGCCCGCCACTGCTGAGGAACCTGGGGTCACAATAGCCTTGGCTTCATCCAAGAAAGAACAAAACCACCTCAATTCAGGCAGGTGAGGGGAGAAGGAAAGCAGACATTTGGAGTATAACTGTCTGAGTCTGAACCTTGAAGCACCACGCAGGAGCAGTGTGACCTTGAGTGAGTCATTTACCCTCACTAGACCTCAGAGTCCTAGTCTGTAAAATGAATCTAGCACCCCTCCCTCATAGGGTTGATGGAGATTTAAGGTGTCAGTTGAGACCATCATGTGACAGTGTCTAGAGCTGGCAACTGACCGTTCTTGTCACCTATCACCCTTCACTTCCTGCAAGGCTTCAGAGTGGGGTATACAGGGGGCTTCTGACCCTGGGCTCCCTCACACAGGGTAAAGCAATAAACATCTGCCAGTTTCCCAACCCGTTGTCAGCCATGGGTTGACTGCCCTGGAGGTCAAGGTCTGGGAAAGCCTGCCCAAGACCATACCCCCTTCCCAGAGCCCCTGCCTCAAGGGACAGTCTGGGATGTGTCGAGCTCACCTTGTGCCCATCCTTCCGTAGTTTATGAAGGACCTGACTGAATCCCAAGAGGCTAGGCTGCCCCATGCCAAACACAGGGAGCCCACCTCGCACCTGCCGGAAGTTGGGGGCCCCACAGCTTCCCAAGGTGCCCAGTACGTCCGTCTTCTCAGTGATGTCCCGTACCAGGAAGTAGCGGCCCTGACAGGAAGAGAGCCACAGGGAATCACTCAGGGGACCCAAGGGAATGATCCACAGGTAGGACTTTGTCCTGGGCCCCCAGGGGAAAAGGGGTGGGGGGATGGCCCTGTCCTCAAGTTGCCTGCAGGTTCATATGACAGACATGACAAAGATATAAGAATCAGAGAAGGCTTCAGGTAGGAGGTGGCCTTGGAGCCAGGCCTTGAAGAGAGCATGGAGAGGTACTACAGGGCAAAGCTGGCTCCACAGGGGGCCCACAGCTTCCCTGGAAGAAGACAGATGTCCCTCACCCCTAGAAAGGCAAATGAAGAAGGGGCATATCTGGGAAACAAAGATCCAACCAGAAGATAACAAGGCCAGCTCCTCCCTGGGCTGAAAGGATGCAGTGACTGTAGAGAAAAGACCAGAACACTGGCTGGTCAAGAGTTTGTTTCCAGGCAAAACAGAACTCTGGGTCATCTCACATGACCCATGCCTCCATCAGACCCCAAACTCCCATGACCTGATAGACAGAGAATGAGCCAGAAATTCCCACCATGATTATCCACATGGTAAACCAGTCATTGTTCATTCAGTGCCTATGCTATGCTAAATGCTGTTCACAGGATGACAGGGCCAAACAACAGAGGAGAGAAAAGAAGCTAAGCTGGAGAAGTTCTGAAACTCTAAAAGATAGAGAACTCTAGCCTTTGGGAGTAGGATCTGGGGTCCCTGGGGCCTTGTAGCCCCCATTGCCATTCCCCCTGGTTTCTCAGGAGGTGAAGGCAGGATGAAGACCAACAGAGAATGTAGGAAAGGGACCCAGGAAACCAACAGGCTGGGTTCCCAAAGAGAGAACAGTGGGCTGAGCAGGTGGTTAAGAAGGACTAAGGGGCTGGAGCATAGCTCAGCAGGAGAATGCTTCCCTAGAATCCACCAGTGATGGGCTGGGGACATGGCTCAGTGGTAAAGCACTTGCCTAGAATCCTCCAATGAGGACCTGGGGGCGTGGCTCAGTGGTACAGTGCTTCCCTAGAATCCACCAGAGAGGGCCTGTGGTAGCGCATCTGCCTAGAATATACCAGTGAGGGGCTGGGGACATGGCTCAGTGGTAGAACACTTGCCTAGCATGTGAAAGGCCCTGTGTTCCAAGAAGGGCCAAGAGACAGAGATAGAGTCAGAGAAGTGGGGGTGGAGGAGAGGCAGGGAAGGGTAAGGAAGGTGGGAAGGGAGGGCCTGCCCTCACCTGCACCAGGTAGTGCTCAGGAGTGGCATCTGAGAGCCGGCCCATCCTATAATGGGCCTTGAGCAGCTCATCGTGGATCTGGAACTCCTCCTTACAATTGTACCTGCCAGAGGCACAGTAGAAACCGAGTAGTCAGGGTCCCCTCTACCTTCACCGGAACCCACAGCAGGGCCACCCCACCCCTACCCATACAGCATCTTCCAACAGCCACTCCTCCCCTTTACCCTCTGACAGAACACCAGAACTGAGACTAAGACCTGGGCTTATCCACAGGTAATAAGAAGTGGATGGGTGAAACAATGGTCCAATAAAACGTCATTCACATTAACAGATGGTAGGCCAGATTTGGCCTGCAGGATGCAGTGAACTGCTGACTCTGCTGAATGACCTCTAAGGTACCTTCCACCTAAAACCCAAGGAGGGCTGCACGTACAGCCCATTCCTACTGGACTTTTACAGCTGGCCAGTGACTATATGAGCCACATCACTTGGTTCCAAATTTCCCCTAAATTCTCTGCTTATGTTGATAAGGAAACAAAGGCCCAGATGGGGACAAGGAGGTAGAGCCAGGCTAGACCTGCTTTTCCCAAGGGTGTCTTCAAGGCCCAAATTGACTTTCATTGTGTGTCAGAACAGACTCCCAGACAACGTCCTATTGTGTGACATCTCTTTCCTCCTTTTATCCCAAGCTCGGTGATTTATAGTGATTACTGCTTTCCTGGCAGGCTGCTTTCCCGGGGCTAGCAGGCTGGATCAATCTTTCTACCCACAGGCTTTCTTCCACAGAAGGCCCATCTTCCAGGTCGCTGCCTATATAGGGCATACTTAGTTTTTAGTCTATCATATCATCCTTCCTGCATCCCAGAAAGACCCAGAGATAGAGAAGCATGGTGGGCAAGTGTGGTAGAAAGACTCAGGCTTCCTGGTTCCCCAGGAGGCAGACTCTGTGTCCCTCAGTTCTCCTGTCCCAGCTCCCAGTAAATACCCGCTCATTCACCCACACAAGGGCAGATGGGAGTCTGGCCTTCTTCTGGCCTCCTCTGGACTAGTGTGTCCAGGTCCCTGAACTGTCCACCTCCTCAGTCCAGTGTTTCTAAAGGCCCTGACTAGGAACATCAAAGAAGAACTCCCAGCTTTCCAGTCCCGGACTCTTAGAAAAATCCATTACTCACCTCCATTTTGAGCCAGAATCACCAACTTTGAAAGAAAAACATCTCTATTCTAAGCATCTCAGTATACATACACTTCCTTGAAAAGGTTTGGTCAAAACTCGTTTTCAAGAGGATGTCATTCTGGTCTCCCTCTCTTGCCCATGTTTCTGGCACTGTGCACATGGTAAACAACCTGAGTTAAAGACTCACAAGAGACCCAGCTTGGCTACCTGCTTGCTGTGTGAGTTCAGAAACACTGCTTAACTTCTCTGGGTGGACCTCAGTGTTTTTTATTTTTTATTGAGACAGGTCTCCCTGTAGCCCCAGCTGGCCTGGAACTCACTATGTAGACCAGGCTGGCCTCCATCTCACAAAGATCTTCAGCCTTCTCCTGATGCTGAGATTAAAGGTGTGCACCACCACGCCTGGCATCAGTGCTTTTACCTACAAGCCTGGACTATCTATAAGTATTAGGTAAGGAAAGCCACCATACCACACAGGCCCTGTCTTCCAGCAACATGATCACATGTTCCCTGTTACTCACGTGATCACAACAGGAGCCACCTTGTTAGGGATGATGGACTTGGCTTTGCTGTTGTGCAAGCTGGTGGTGTGGAAGGAGTGGACGCTGAGCGACTGCTTGCCATCCATGGTGTCACTACCCTGCAGGCCCTCGAAGGGAGCAGCTGCTGAGACTGTCTGCTGGGCTGTGCTTGCCGTTGTACCCATAGTCTGCCAGCAGCCTCAGGACCCCAGGCCTGCAGGTAAGAGGGCACATGGTTCAGAGGGTCTGGGAAAAGCCACAGTAGGGGAAGACCCTGGCCTTACCCACCCCCATCCAGGAAAAAGCAGCTCCATCATGGATATAGACAGAGTAGGCTTGCACATCTGTTCTGGGGCTCCAGGAATCACAGGTTTCCAGAGTGCCTGCCATGTGCCTGGTTTCTGATGAATTTTCAGGGAGTTATAGACAAAGCAACACAAAGACCAGGCATGGCTCCTTAGAGGGGCCTCTTTGGGGCCTCATGAGCCCACCTCTGCTCCCTTAGAGTTCTCCAAGAAAGAGATGGAGGCAGGCCAGGGCCAAGAATGGGCAAGAGGAAGGGAGGCCAGAAAACCAGCAAGCCAGGACCCCAGAGAGTGGAGAATAGGGTAGACCGTGCTGGCCACTAAGAAGGGCTGAGGGACTGGGATGCAGTTCAGCAATAGAGTGCTTATCATGGGGTGGCATAAAGGTACAGTCAGGAAGAGTTAGCCACCCACAGAGATGATATGGGCTCAGAACTTCCAGGCTCAAATAAGCTGGAGATGAAGCATTGTTGGATAGAGAGAACCAGAGCAGGAAGGGTTCAGATGGGAACAGGATGCAGGGCCTTCTCTAATCCACACATTCCCCTCACACAGGGGCCGTGCTCATCTTCTCTCTAAGCTTCCGATGAAGTGGGCACACAAGCAGACATTCTACCCATGAGTTCCATAAAATGGGGTCAGACGCATTCAGACTAGGTAAATGCCCAGCAGATCAAGTGTTCAGAGAAAACAGCAGCCCTAGAACCTAATACCAACATCTGATCACCTCTATCAACCTCAGGGGTGGAGAACTTCCCCACCCACAGTATGCTGGGCACTCTGGATTCAGGGTGCATGAGATGGGTGGGCTACACTCATGCTTTGTTGATGGGGGTGTTGACTGCAAGAACCAAACACTAGAAACAACCTCCAGTCAATAGAGAAGGTACGGAGTGCTGGCTGAGCTACAGGAATATGAAGCAGCTATCAAATCTCTCCAATTAATGAGGGAGATGTGGGTAGAGCAAAAGGTGGATGGTGTGGCCCGCACAGTAGTTCTTATTACATTTGCTTATTTATTTGTGTATATATTGGGGTGGGGGGCACATAGTACATGTAAGGAGGTCAGAGGACAACTTGCGGGAGTCAGTTCTCTCCTTTTACCATACGGGACGCAGGATCTAACTTGGGTATTCAGGCTTGACAACAAGCACCTTTATCGCTGAGTCATCTTGCCTACCTGAGGTTACAATGTTTATTCCTTTTTATCTGCATTTTCTGATTTTTCTTCTCTGAATTTAGGGAATAAAGTTAAAACCTATATAGAACAAATAAAGGGATGTCTCAGGAAGAGAGCTGGGATGCAGCTGAGGAGCTGTAGGATATGAGGAGAGACTTAGGAGTCTGCTGGGAAGGAAAGGGCTGGGGGTCCCACATAGAGAATAGAAGACATGCAGAAGGGATCGTGGGAGTTTCTGCAAACTCAATGGCCACACAGGGCACTGATATTACGGGATGGTGGGGATCCTGGCAGCTCCTCACCCTACTTCACACTTGGGAGATAGCTCACTCTGCAGTCAGAACAACTCTCCAAGCCATCTGCAATGAGCATAGGCTACCCCACATCATGTGGGCTGTCTGTTCCTGATCACACTCTCCCCTGCCCCCAGCACTCCACTGTCACCTCAGGATGTGAATGATGGGCACAAAGCCAGGCCAGGTCAGTCTACAGTCCCCAGTGCCCAAGTGGGCTCTCCTCTCATGTTTCTCTAACAGTATACAAAGATGCTCCTTGAACATAAGCTGAACAGGTGACTCATCTGCCCTTCTAGAACCTTCTCTAACTACTGATGGTTCCTGACTCATCTGGAAAGAGTTCCCCTCTTCTATTCAGCCCCAGGAGCCTCATAACAGCATGACAGTCCTGGTGACACCCTTACCTTGTGTTTACTAGAGTTCATGTCCCTGACCCTTCATCTCTTCATATTCAACGTAGTCTTAGAAAGATATCTCTTTCTCTCTCTCTCTCTCTCTCTCTCTCTCTCTCTCTCTCTCTCTCTCTCTCTCTCTCTCTCCCCCTCCCTCCCTCCCTCCCTCTCTCTCTCACCTTTACACTCCCAAACAGAAAAGCAGGCAGTTCACAGAGCAAGGCTCCCCAATGGATCCCAGCTGGTAGACTACAGAGTGGGAACTCTCTCCTTCACCAGCCTCTCCAGCTGTCAGACTCCAAACAGTGCCCACTCAAATTTCCCAGGCCCCTCCCAGCAACCTGGCCCAAAGGAATGTGAGTGAGAACAGCTCCAAGAGAGGAGCACATGGAGAGATGGGTGGGTAGGAGGCAACAGCTGGCTACAGCTGCCAGAGACCAGATGGGGACCCATTCCCACAGGATGGGCTCCACTCCACCCTCTGCCTCCTCTCTGCCTGCCTTGGGCTCACAGACAATGACAGTCCCCAGCCGGTACCCTGGAAGGGCAGCCAACAGACAAAACAGACATGCGCAGCTGGCAGAAAAGCAGCTGGGGTGGGGGGAAGGGCAGCATCCTTTGAAAACTGAATGGGCCTCCAAAATATGTGGAGCAGGGAAGCAAGCCCGGGTATCCTTCACCTCAAAACCTCTCTTCAGCCAACCATACACAGTAAGTCCTGCAGGTCGGGAGCCTTCAACCTACTGGCCATGGCTGGGAGCCTTGGGCAGCTTCCTCCTCAGGGTTCCTGTCCTAGTGACAGTGAGTGCCAGAGTCTGAAGGCCCTGCCATCTGCAGGTCCATCTGACTACTAAGGTCAGTGTGGTCCTAGTTATCAGACCACTACTGACCACTACCGGGGTCAGCAAGGGCAGGGCAGGGATGTGGGTGGGCTCCCTAGTGCTTAATCCTCTGCTGGGGGATTCTAGGAGTGGAAGGTAGATGGTTAGGGTGAGACTAGACTATCTGAGGTGTCCATGAGCCTGGAAGGTTTGTAAACAATGATGTCTGTGTCTGCTTTGTGTAACTATAACAAAATACCTGGAGTAATGAACTGACAAAAAGGTTTGTTCTGGCCCACAGATTTTGAGATTTCAGTCCATGGTAGGTTGGCCCCATTGTTTCTGGGACTGTGGTAAGACAGAAGCATGTGGTAAAGGGGTATCAATGAGGAGGTCTCCTGACTGCCAGGAGTTTGTCACATATTATCCTGTTTAGTCCTGATCCATCTAAAAGGTACCAACTTTCATTACTCAATATCAAGTTAAAAAAAAAAAACCAAAAACCCATACTCAGGGTTTTTATAAAGATACCCAGGAATGCCAAATAAACACACATTTGTCTTCAGTAACAAATTTTGGGGAAATGGAATGGGCAAGAATTGAGATAGTGTCTCCCTGTAGCCCCAGCTAGCCTGGAACTCACTTTGTAGACTAGCCTCAATCTCAAAAAGATCCACCTGCCTCTGCCTCCTGAGTACTGGGATTAAAGGTGATGATATGCAACAGTGCCCAGCCAGTGACAAATTTTTAAATAACTAAGCCCTAGTGACACCTGGAAGCCCCAGATGTCATACACAGCTGACCAGGTGAGGGCCTGTTGCTACTTCTGAAAATGGTTTTAAAGTTTTGTTTTAATTCTTTTTGACGTAGTTCTGGCTGCCCAGGAATTCATTATGAGGTCCAGGCTGGCTTTGAACTCCTGACAACCTCCAGCCTCAACCCCTCCCCCCTCATGTGCTGGAATGAGTGGTGTAAGCCGCCACACCAGGCAGTTTTGAGGCCACACTTACCACATGACCCAGCCATTCAGTCTGAGGGACTGACTGAAGAGAATGAAGGAAGGCCCATCCACAGCATCACAACTCACATGGGGGTGCCTGAGACCACCACAGACTGACATCAGCTGACAGACAGACTGAACATTGTAAATCAGTGCCATGGGGGCACACTAGCCAACAGAGACACTAATTATAGCAGACACTTCACTGTGACAAACTCAAAACAGCATACCAAGACTTCAACCTGCATAACCTCAATCGAGGTGGCACATAGCCTTCTAGAAGGAGCAGGAACAGGAGCAGACAGCAGGCTATAAGGGGCTCTGGGCTGCACAGGGGCTCAAAGGCACCTTGCAGGACAGAGCTGCCCTGATTTTCCAGAGCTGATAAACAGTATACTTGCTTTTTTTTCTTTTGGCTTGTTTGATTGATTTTTCTCTCTCTCTCTTTTTTGAGATAGGGTCTTGTATAGTCCAGACTTGCATCAAACTCAATAAGTAGTCAAGGATGACCTTGAACTCCTGATCTTCCTGCCTTCATTTCCTAAGGGCTAAGGTTACAGGTATGGGGGCTGGAGAGATGGCTCAGCAGTTAAGAGCACTGGCTGTTCCTGTGGAGGACCCAGGTTTGATTCCCAGCACCCACATGGAGGTTAACGACTGTCTGTAACACCAGTTCCAGGGGAACCTGACGCCCCCTTCTGACCTCCACAGACACTGCACGACACAGGTGCACTTAGATACACACAAACAATACACTCAAACACAAAAAAATAAAAATAATAAACAAAATATTTTTAAGAAAAAGACTACAGGCATGGACCACCACGCCCAGTTTGCATGGCGTGACCCAGGGCTTCGTGCATGCTAAGCAAGCACTGAACCTACTAAGCTATATCCCCAACCCTGATTAATATATATATTTTTTTATCTTTTTTGAGACAGGGACTCCCCAGTAGCCCCAGCTGGCCTGAAACTCACTATGTAGACCAGGCTGGCCTCGAACTCACGGAGATCCGCCTGCCTCTACCTCCCGAGTGCTGGGACTAAAGGCATGCGCCACCACACCCGGCTTGATTAATATTTTTTACATAATTTTATTACATGTATTTATCTGTTGGCTATGGGGGAAGATTGGAGTGTACCACAGTATGCATGTGGAGATCTAAGGACAACTTGCACGAGTTGGTTTTCTCCTTCCACCATGTGAATCCCAGGGATTG